CCGTGTTATAAATAAAAATTTGAATAATTTAATAAAATGCTTTGTTTTATATTTTACCTTCTAATTTCCTTGAATTTTAAAATATGCATATACGTATAGTACATATAAAATTTGTAACAATATATATAATTAATATGCAACAGCTATACCTTATATATCATAACTGGGGAATATTGGATTACTATTGTTTGGAACTCGATTGTTGAGGTTATGTAACAGAATTGTAATCAGGTGATATATGATGTAATTTATTAGTTTAATCAGTAGAGTTTATTTAATATATGTATTAAATATATAATCAGAGCTAATGAAATATAAATAGAATGAATTAGTAAACCAAAGGTTCTCTTTCTTGTAAGCAAAAGAAATAATAATAAGTAAAATACAAACCTTATATAAACTTGAATAGGTTATGGGTTAATAATGAAAAGTAACTATTACTTTAAATTAAAGAACTAGTATAATGAAAGTATAAAGAAATATTTATCTATATATGCAGTTAAACATTAATAATGCTAGTAATAAATTATCCTTTTATACCCAAATAATTAAGACAAGTTAAAGCTAGATTACAAATGGTATAATCCTATGTTAAATGATTAAAATTTAGTAAGTTTTTTTTTATTTGGATTAGACAGAGTTAAGCATAATAAAATTTAGTAATCTCTATTTTTTTTGTATATAACGATAAGCTTCTATGCTGTAAATCTTAAATACCAGTATCAACACAATTACATAACGATAAAAAATCTAATACATTGTATGACAAATAAAAAAATTGTATAAATATTTGTTTATACACAATTGTTTTTTTTTTAAAAAAAAAAACAATATTGATACACGATAAAAAGCAGTAAATGAAAGTCTAAAGTAGTCAAGTCTTTATCACTTACTTCAAAAAAACAAAAATTACCAAGCTCTTCAACTTTACCGGCAAATACTTCTGAACCAAATATGTTAAATGAAAACTCTATATCTGAATTAAATACATCAAATAAAACAAGCTTTGGAGGTCGTCAACCAGCACCTGTATGGGAGTTTTTTTATCGAAAGCGAACTAATTCAGCTGGCCATTTTTCAGCTAAATGCAAATTTTGTCTAACTGAGTGGGGAAGAGGTGAACCAGCAAGACTTGAGGCACATCTTGCGCTAGAGTGTTCTAAAGTAGAAGATCAAGTTCGGCAAATATATTTACTTTGTGTAGCTCATCGTGATGGTGTTACAGAAGAAACACAATCTGGAAATTTATTAGCTAATACTAAAAAACAAAGCAATAAGCAGTCTAGTATTTCAAATTATTTTTTACAAAAATTAGATAGTTTATAAGAGGGGCATATAAATTCTATAAATAGCTCATTATTAAAGGCTTTTGTAGTATGTGGCATTCCATTCTCTGTTATAGACAATCCATTTTTTATCGATTTTCTTCAGAGTTTATGTCTAAATTATAAGCCACCATCAAGTGAAATATTATCTGGGCGATTATTGGATCAAGAATGTTCAAAAGTTATAGTCAAACGTGAAAATATTTTTCATGAATTAGATAATCTTACTTTAGGTATAATTTTAGTAATATATTTTAAAATTTATTTATTATTATATTTAATAACAAATTTTATTATTTGTAGCACTAGATGGGTGGACTTCACCTAATGGGAATTCAATTTATAGCTTTATGATTTTAACTCCTATGCATCATAAGTACCTATACTCTTTATCTGATTTTTCTGCAAATTTGTATACAGCTAAATTTCTTGTAGACAAAATTGAATTGGTTTTGAATGAGACAGGATGTAGTAAATTTTCAGCAATTGTAACTGATAATGCTAGTAATATAAAACTTGCTCAACAAATAATTCATAAAAGGCATCCAAAAATTTTAAATTTAAATTGTGTTGCGCACTGTGTAAATCTTATATCTAAGGATATTCTTAGTAAGTACTATATATTATAAAATATATGAAATATGAATATATTTAATATATATATATTAAAATTTTATTATTTATATTTAGAACATGCATTTAGCTCACATTTAATAAGAGATTGTAGTCAAATTGTAAATTACTTTAAAAAATCTCATCAACCTAATGCATATTTACAAGAAGCAATTCATAACTTACAAATTCCTGGTGGTGGGCTGAAAAAGTTTGTTGATACCAGATGGGTTTCTGCATATGAACATGTTTTATCTGTTAGTAGACTTGAACGTGCTTTTATTAAAGTAAATTATTATTCATAATTATTTATATTAATTTTATTTAAATATTAATTAATTAAATTTAAATTATTAGATTATGAATGATAATCCAGAACTAATTACAAATCGCGAAGTGAAACGAATTTTAAGATGATCATTTTTTTTTTCAGATCTTAAAATCTTAATTAAAATTTTAGCTCCAATTTATATAACAGTTATGAACATAGAATCCCAGTCAACAACTTTAGCAGATTGTTTTATGCAATTCATTTATCTGGCAGCTGCAATTAAAAAAGTTCCAAGATTTAGAATTAGTGGATTTAAAAATCACTGTATGCAGACTTTTAATAAAAGATGGAACGATTTTAATTCAGATAATTATTTATTAGCATATTTTTTGCACCCAGGATATCGTGGTAAGTTTATATACTTTTAAAGTTTAATTAAATTAACATTATATTAATACAATTTATTTATTAGGTGCTGGTTTACGTGAATGACAGTTTCAATCAATTGCCAAAACAGCAATTAATATTTGGAAAGATGAAGGTCATGATAAATATGAATGTGCAATTTTAGTTGCATATATGAGACAATTTAAAGAAAAGAAAAATGGATTTGATTTACCATATAGCTTTGAAGCTGATACCCCTTTATTATGGTGGATGACAAACTTTACCGGTGCTAAATCAATTGGACATCTTGCAATTAAAATTTTTTCAATAACACCTCATTCTGCAGACTGTGAAAGAACATTTTCAGCTTTAGGCTGGTTATATGTAAAATGACGACAACAACTTTCACTTACTCGAATTCAGGCAATGGCACAAATCCGATCCTTTTATATCTCCAATATTCAAAAAGAATTGGCTTTTTATGGAAAAGCGTTACCTGTTAATAATTTACAAGAATTAGTAGCAACGTCAACTTTTTTAACTGAATTTGATGATAATGATCCGATTGAACATTCAGAAACTGAAACAGAAATCGAACAAAATTTAGAAAGCATTAATTTTCTTAATATTGAAAGTATGGTAAACTTAAATCATAATGCATTTCAAGATGATGAATCAGATAGTGAAAGTGAAGGATCACAAATTAGTAGTAACGAGGAGAATTATGAATATGATGATGAACCAATGATTAGTAATAACGAAGGGCAGGGTGTATTCGATTTTGATCCAACAGATTTAGTAACAGATTTGGTAAATGTATGGGAGAATAGTAATACTGAAAATATCGAAGATATGTTAAATATGGAAATGTGTATGGATGATAATTTGGATGATATTTTAGATGAAGATGGTGAAAGAGATATAGATTCTGATCCGGAAGCAAATAGTGAAAATTTGCCTATTGCACTTAGAAAGGCACGTCGTGAATTTTGTAGAAGTTAGAATACATATTAGCTAGATCATTAAGATGTAATTAGGAATATTTGATGTTTAATAAAACAAACGTGCTTAAAATATATCTAATATGGTTTTTAATTTATTTTAAGGGCCAATTATGTTTACTTAAATATATGCTTATTTATTCGTTTATTAAAATTAAAAGCACCAATAAAATAAGATTTTTTTTTCTTTTGAATACGGCAATAAAGTTTTATTAGTATAAAAAAATCTATTACGCATCAATTAAAATTATAATTTATATAAACTGTTGAAACTTTAAATATAAATTTGAAAAAAAAACTTAATATTTAGCTATAAAGAAGTAAACTACTGCATTGCGCCCAAAATAACGCGTTATTACGCGTTATTACGCGTCAATATAGTAAATTTACTGAATATTTTATTGGTTAAATTGATTCGTCAAGAGTTTTATCAATCGTCAGAAGTTTAGTCAATCGTCAGGAGTTTCGTCAATCGCCAAGGTTTCGTCAAGCAAGTGTGTTGACGAAACAATTTCGCCATTCAAAAATAGTTTCGTCAGGAATCATTACCCGTAACAACATTAATGTTATCCTGGTAACAAAATAAATCGTCCCTCTACTATCTAGTAACAAAGACACATTCCTGGCAATAAAAATAAGTCAACATTAAAGTATTTTCTTATAATCAAGTATAGTGACGAAGGATGTTTAATTGTAACAAAACAACGTAGGTTTTTATATCAAGTAATGTTTAAACCTTTTGAATCCGTTATACGTTTTGATTGTTCTCTAATTTTGAGCGAAAATATCTCGACAACCACATGGTTAAATTTGATGAAAATTTTTTTATTTAAATTCTATGAGTCAAAGAATTCAAACCGAAAAGGTTTTAACAGATTCAAGCAAATAGTTGTCGAGATATCTTCGCTCAAAGGTTTTGAAATTTTTTATTTCACTTACAGCCGGTCTGCTTCGGGGAAATAATCCTACGGAGACTCCCAGTGCAATTACGATTGCTTCTGATGTGGGATGTCTCTGTCATTCTGACTACTTGGTCAATTGTTCGCTTTCTATTATGTATACTGCCAACCTTAAATTCAATAAGATATCACCTGCATAAGTAATCTGCCGGCATAGTCCACACTGAATATTGTGTAACGCGAATGCTTTTCGATACAATAGACTTTCATATTACTGTACTACATAAAAATAACCTTCTAAATTACACAACGTCGATATACCATATCCTATCCTATATCAATTATACTCCATACTTTTATGTCCTATCCCATATCAATTATATTCCATCTCTGTTAAATCCTATCCCGGTACAAAGTACCAAGTGCAACCGATCGTTCCCCTACACATAGTTCAAAATATGTAGTGTTATGTACCGCTTTTCGCCACCATTAACCATTTTCAAAAATGATTATTCAATCGTTAACTAAACTAGCCAAGCATTCTAATTTTAAAACGAACATCTTTAAAACGAGCATCTTTATATACTGCATAAAAAGTCGCTTCATAAATTTCTCTCATGGAAAAAAGCCTTTGAATCTATTGTTAGAACCACAAGAAATAGAACTCGCAGCAGATTTGAAAAACGGAAAATGCTGTATTCTTGCAGGAGCTGGAGTATCTTCATCTATTATCAACATTGACCCAGTTATGTCTGAAATAAATGCCAGAACTATAAAATCAACTGTTGGTAGTTGGGCTGGATTTCGTACGTTTTTTATTATATTTTATTGTTCAATTTTAAGCACTTTAGCCTTATACTTATCAATGCGTATTACATATGGTATAAAGTTCGTGCTGCGGCTACAGAATTTTTCAAAACATATACGTCATCACAACTTCCCTTAAAGGATATTAATGACCTGTTTGAATTCGGAAGTTACATTGATGAAAAAATTAGTAAACTATTTGAAGAAAATCAAGACCAATTATCTGTTGCGATTAAAGCTGTTGAAGATGCTATTTTTGACAGAAAAGAATTTTCACAAAATGAATTAATTTCTCAAATTACAGATGATAAGAAAAGACTAATTTCGGAAATTAATGTCGAAATTCAAAGAATTAAGTTTATTATTGATCGAGTTTACAATGCATTGCCTCAAGCAAAGTAAGTATCCACATAATGATTAAAGCAGAAACAGTTATAATAAAAAAAATTTCTTTTTGTTTAAAAAATAAAGATTCCAAATTTCTCACAAAGAAAATAAAATTGAGAATGATTATCTTGACCTTTTAAAAAAAGTTGCATTAATTTCGTGGGGAAAAGGGTCTGCAATTACAGAATCAACAGAGGTCCTTACGCAACTTATTAATAAAATGAATGAGAGTTTAGGACGTAAGTAGTATACTTGAAATCATATATATTGCGATTATATTTTAAATTTATAATTTCTCTTTCAAAGATATTCCATCCGGTAATTTATGGCAACGAGGTTCCAAGTCAGTTAAACAAAGGATTAATATATTAGAAGAAGATATTACCAATAATCAAGATGAAGAGGCGAAAGAAAAGTTGAAATATTTTAAAAATCATTATACAGAATTAAAAACATTATTTGATAAGTTTTCCGGTAGATATTTTTTAGGCATATCATGAACAGTCTATTTAGAAAAGATATACGTATTAAATTTCTTTATTTTTCAGGCAGTACCGAGAGAAGCAAATACATCACAGAGTTTACTAAAGATTTTCAATTAACATTAGCAGGTGTAATTTCAATAAATCACGATAATTTGAATCAAACTTTTAGACGTCTTACTGAGCTTGTACTTAGTCCACTAAAGGTAAATATGCATTGTACAGTATAAAAAATATACTTTTCCAATTAATTTAGTAGATTAAATTTTTTTTTGTTAGTCGAATCCACATTCGCCCTTGGCCAAAGCATTGGATACAATATGCGAAAATAATGTACTCTTAACTTCTAACTATGATACATTCTTGGAAAGTGCATTATATCGTAATGCATTGGATTACATGGATGATTTAGCTGATTCAAATCAATTAGATTTTTTAATTCCGGATGATATTACAAAAGATTCTAAACTTCATAATCGGTTTGTTATTCATGTTCATGGTCTTTACTATGATAAAGGAACCTTTGTTATATCTGAAGAAGAGTATAAAAAAACTACTAGTTCATTTTACAAATTTATGAGATCGCTAATTCTAGAAAAGAAGCGATCTTTAGTATTTATTGGAGTCAGTGCAGATGGTTGGACGGACTGGCATATGTCTAATTTATTCAGAGATTTGGCTCATATGGATAACATAGATAGCCATCCTCGTCATTATTGGGTTGTGAAAAGAGGTACAAATTTTCCTAATGAAGATGACTTTTCGGAATTATCAAATCAAAAAGAACAAAAAATTACTCTAGAATATGTTAAGAAAAAAGTTAAAATTGTTAAATATGGTGATTCATATGACAATTTAGCCCCTTATCTGATATACCTTTCAACTTTACACCAAGATCTATAATTAAATAACCTGATAATAGTATGTTACAGTTGTAATTTCCTGAAAGTTTAACATTCAGATATGTGTGATTTATTTATATTTGAATAAATAGATTATTTTATCTACCGTTGATAACTTGTAATCAAAATAGTTAGATTATTCGTAGGGTTAGATAAATCTCGTATGTATGTAAAAACAAATTTACAGAATCTATCAAAATTGAGCTTGGTAAAATGCTATTTAACAGTGCTGATAATGTACTACTATATTGCTTATAATTTGCCAAGATTTGCTATTTTCAAATTATAAGTAGTCGACGCAATGCAATAATGTAAATTTTAAGTGCAGATTTCACATTTTTACTACATTTAATTCATTATCCAGTCAATTATAATTTTTTGCAAACGTGCGTACGTAAATATGTGCATTATTTGTTATTAATAATGCTAATAGTAAAACATGCGTTAGCAGTAAAGTACTAATATAGCTTTCAGTAAACTTATTCCTCGAAAGTTACCCAGATTTAGGTCAATAAAATAGAGATCCGTTCTTTATACGTGTTAACGTGAAAGCATAATAAAAGTAAAAATTAAAGAAATTTCTTTATTGTAATTGTACGAAATGTTAACCATTTTTATAATTTATTTATTATTAATGTAATATATATTAAAAATTATTATTTTAAATACAATCTAAAGTTTTATAATAATTTTGTAATGTTTTAATTTGTCTTGATATCATATTTTTGATGGATTAATAAGCGCATACTCTGTAAATGAAATGGTCGAAAAATGGGATTTATATATTTTCTTTTGGCAGTGCTCATTTATACGAGTCTATTATGTCACATAAAGTAAATTGTTATCATAAAGAGCTTCTACAAAATACATGACCCGCTTCATCCTGAAACATATAATTGAAATTATTACAAAAATCAGAGAGTTAAAGTAATATTTTATGAAGAACATCTGCGAATGCTTTTCCTCCAGCATTATCAAGTTGATTACTGCCAACATTCAAGTAGGTCATAGCAATGTTTTCATATAATACCTTTGCTAATATTTTTCCAGCTACAGAGCCAAGATTATTATTATAAAAAGGTAAATGAGAATGAGTCAGAATAGTATTTTATGAAGAGCCACAGCTAGCACTACTCCTCCTTCTAAACCAAGTTGATTGGTACCAAGATTCAAATAGGTCAAAGTGGTATTCTTACAAAAAGCGTTTGCTAATGCTTTTCCACCTTCAGGACCAAGTTGGTTATTCCTAAGATTTAAATGAGTCAGAATAGTGTTTTTACAAATATGCCTCTGCTAGAGCTATCCCACCTTCAAAATCAAGTTTATTATTACCAATATATAAATAGGTCAAAGTAGAATTCTAATAGAATGGCTCGGCTAACTCTCTTCCTCTTTCAGACTCAAATTTTTTATTTGCAAACCCAAAAGGTTTATAGTGGTACTCTTACTAATATTTTCCGTTAAATTTATCATTCGATTATAACTAATGTCATAAATGCGTAAATCTTTAAGATTAAAACTTGTTCGCAGAAACATTGAGATTAAAGAAGATCCAATAGTATGAGCTATATTTCTAAACCGGGTTTCTTCTTTAACGTAAGGAGTTCGTGCTCTTCACGATCAAACCAATATATAATTCCATTATCTGTATCAAAATAGGTTTAATATATGTTGTGTATTCGAATAATGGTTTTGGACCATTTGGAAGCTTTATATTAAACGGGAATAATTGTCTTTTTTCTTCAGTATTTAATGATAAAAGACATATTTTTACGAATTTTCTACTTTTAAAAGTGTTTAGCTTGCTCCATAATATAGATACTACAATTGCACACCATTTACGATTCACGAGAAGACATGAAAACAAGTCTTCATTTTTAAGGTTGATAAATATTACGAAAAGACATTCGTTTGGTAATGCTATCATCTGAATAGATTAGATTTATTCTTGAATGGATTAAAAACTTTGGTGTAAAATTGAGAATAAATTTGTTATTGAATAAAATTCTTTATCTGTATTAAATAGGTTTGTTAGAATTTAAAAAGATTCTTTGATGAACTAGATGCACGTTGTGAAGGGGTAACGTGGCCCGGCCGCATCAAAAAACGTGATCCAAGCATATGACTCAGGACCTGAAATGTGCATTGATCGACAAAAGCGAAGGAATTTAATAAATGCCAATTCGGGGTTTGGCTTGAGGCGATGCTCCATTGAAGAAAATAGTAAGACGCCTCTGATATTCAATGGTGGGAACAAAAATCATAGTCATAAAATGAGCTGAATTACTCATCGTTAGTCATAGATTTTTCCCCCGACACTTTAAATAGTCATATTGGTTGGAGATTCTAATCGTTGTAGCAGCGTACGTGCGTACGTACGTACATCTAGACACATGATACTGTCGACATTATCTTCAACTATAACTGGAAAAATGAAAACCATTACTTGTACCAAAAAAGGATTTTGCAAAAATCAGCATAGCGAACATCAAAAAAGTTGAACGGAAACCATCTCTCTCACATTTCATATTATCATTCAACGTGATCGTACTGGTATAAACTTCTAAATTACAGAATTATACAACGTCGATTATATCAATTATACTCCACCCCTGCTATACCATATCCCCAGGGTTGGCAATGGAGCTCAATGGAGCCTAATGGAACTGCGAATGGAGTCAATGGAATTCTGAATGAAGCTAGTTTTTTGAGCTCCATTCACGTAACCATTTAACTCCATTGGCTCCATTGCTAATGCTGCCTATCCCATATCAATTAAAATGTAATGCGACAGAACCATATGTAGAAATTAGCTGAACGTGCGCTTAAAGAGGTATTGCATTGAAGGAGGGAAAAATCTATAGGCATACAGTGAAACCTTTATAAATGCACGCTTTTGGGACTGAACTTTAACAATGTGCATTTAGCGAACAATAAGAAAAGTGCATTTATAGAGATCATGCATATATTTGGGCCAGAGGTTGAAAGTCCATGTAGAGAGGGTGTGCATTTATAGAGAGTGCATTTATAGAGGTTTCAAGTAATATTAGTTGGGTCCAGAGAAGACATGCATTTAGGAAGGCTTTTCATAGGACGTGCACATAGGGAGGTTGCATTTAAGGGGTCTGACTGTATAACCTATCCCGGTATTAAGTACCACGTACGTACGTACGTACAACAGATCGTTCCCCTACACATAGTTCAAAGTATGTTGTGTTATGTAACGCTTTTCATCACCATTAACTATTTTTAAAAATGATTGTTCAATTGTTAACTAGCTAGAATCACTAGCCAAGCATTCCTAAACGAACATCTTTATATACTGCATAAAAAAGTAGTCTCATAAATTTTTCTCATACAAAAATGCCTTTGAATCCAGTACTAGAACCACAAGAAATAGAACTTGCAGCAGATTTGAAAAACGGAAAATGCTGTATTCTTGCAGGAGCTGGAGTATCTTCATCTATTATCAACATTGACCCAGTTATGTCTGAAGTGAATGCCAATACTATAAAATCAACCGTTGGTAGTTGGGCTGGATTTCGTACGTTTTTTATTATATTTTACTGTTCAATTTTAAACACTTTAACCTTATACTTATTACTGCGTATTTATGGTATAAAGTTCGTGCTGCGGCTACCGAATTTTTCAAAACATATACATCATCACAACTTCCCTTAAAGGATATTAATGACCTGTTTGAATTCGGAAGTTACATTGATGAAAATATTAGTAAACTATTTGAAGAAAATCAAGACCAATTATCTGCTGCAATTAAAGCTGTTGAAGATGCTATTTTTGACAGAAAAGAATTTTCGCAAAATGAATTAATTTCTCAAATTACAGATGATAAGAAAAGACTAATTTCGGAAATTAATGTCGAAATTCAAAAAATTAAGTTTATTATTGATCGAGTTTACAATGCATTGCCTCAAGCAAAGTAAGTATCCACATAATGATTAAAACAGAAACAGTTATAATAAAAAAAATTCTTTTTGTTTAAAAAAATAAAGATTCCAAATTTCTTACAAAGAAAATACAATGGAGAATGATTATCTTGACCTTTTAAAAAAAGTTGCATTAATTCCGTGGGGGAAAGGGTCTGCAATTACAGAATCAACAGAGGTCCTTACACAACTTATTAATGAGATGAATGAAAGTTTAGGCTGTAAGTAGTATACCTGAAATCATATATATTGTGATTATATTTTAAATTTTATAATTTCTCTTTCAAGATATTCCATCCGGTAATTTATGGCAACGGGGTTCCAAGTCAGTCAAACAAAGGATTGATAAATTAGAAGAGGAGATTATCAATAATCAAGATGAAGAGGCGAAAGAAAAGTTGAAATATTTTAAAAATCATTATACAGAATTAAAAACATTATTTGATAAGTTTTCTGGTAGGTATTTTTTAGGTTTATCAAGAACAGTCTATTTAGAAAAGCTACATTAACTTTTTCTTTATTTTTCAGGCAGTACTGAGAGAAGCAAATACATCACAGAGTTTACTAAAGATTTTCAATTAACATTAGCAGGTGTAATTTCTATAAATAACGATAATTTGAATCAAACTTTTAGACGTCTTACTGAACTTGTACTTAGTCCACTGAAGGTAAATATGCACAATATATATAAATTTTTACAATCAATTTTGTAGCTTAAATTTTCTTTTATTAGTCGAATCCACATTTACCTTTGGTCAAGGCGTTGGATACAATATGCGAAAATAATGTACTCTTAACTTCAAACTATGATACATTCTTGGAAAGTGCATTATTTCGTAATGCATTGGATTACATGGATGATTTAGCTGATTCAAATCAATTAGATTTTTTAATTCCGGAAGATATTACAAAAGATTCTAAACTTCATAATCGTTTTGTTATTCACGTTCATGGTCTTTACTATGATAAAGGAACCTTTGTTATATCTGAAGAAGAGTATAAAAAAACTACTAGCTCATTTTACAAATTTATGAGAACGCTGATTTTAGAAAAG